TCCACAGCTTATCCCATATCTGCCTACTGCAGGGTTCCCGTCTCTTCCTTTGAATTACCAGGTACTATCAGAGCATGGTACTGGACTGCATTCGCCCCATCAGTCACTTTACACCTGACCTATATTCTAGTGGAAAATACTAATCTTTAGTTCTTTCTTGCTGGCTGCTCCACTTGTCCTCTTCCCATACCTTCCCAGCTTCCACAGCTTATCCCATATCTGCCTACTGCAGGGTTCCCGTCTCTTCCTTTGAATTACCAGGTACTATCAGAGCATGGTACTGGACTGCATTCGCCCCATCAGTCACTTTACACCTGACCTATATTCTAGTGGAAAATACTAATCTTTAGTTCTTTCTTGCTGGCTGCTCCACTTGTCCTCTTCCCATACCTTCCCAGCTGCCATTCTCCATGCGCGCTTTCCATGCCAGCTGTTGCTCTTACAAGTCTCCCACTCCACTGGGTCAAAAAATCCAGTATTTTCTATTGATATGCTTTATCTGTTATGCTGATTTCATAGAATTCAGATGAAGTGTATCAATAAAAACACTTAATTCTATAAGCCCTGCCCTTAACCCACGTGCTAGGCTGTGTGTGAAGAGGCAGATGACTTACTCTCACTATAATGAGTGTTTTGTGTTGTAACTGCTGTGTGTTGTGTATGTGTCCAGACCCCTATTAATGCAGGATTATTATCTACAGTAGTTTTCTTCTCCTGTAGATGTCTGTCTTAGTTTTGCAAGTCCTAGGTGATGGCATTTCTTCCACATCTAATGAGAAAATGATGAAAGGGTGAATTAAGAACAATTGTTCCCTTAGCTAGATAAGCAACAAGGCTTAGTCACAGTTCTGATTAAAATCTAAACTTTTCCAAAAGTTTAGATTCTGGTTCAGACCCAGTACAATAATAGCTTTAAGAAACCAAGTCTGGATACAGATTTAAACTACCCCAGTGTCTAGGAAGAGTGGGGTCCAGTTCTGACGATCTGTTGCTATCTACATTAAAGATTATGTAGCATTATTGTTTTGCCCACAGTAATTGAGGCAGATGTATTTTTATGACTCTCTGGTATTCATACGAAGACGCCACTGTGGCCAACTACACTGCCCAAGGAATTTTCATAGAATCATAGAATCATAGAATAATAGGACTGGCAGGGACCTCAAGAGGTCATCGAGTCCAGCCCCCCGCCCTCAAGGCAGGACCAAGCTCTGTCTACACCATCCCTGACAGATGTCTATCTAACCTGTTCTTAAATATCTCCAGAGAGGGAGATTCCACCACCTCCCTTGGCAATTTATTCCGATATTTGACCACCCTGACAGTTAGGAATTTTTTCCTAATGTCCAATCTAAACCTCCCCTGCTGCACTTTAAGCCCATTACTCCTTGTCCTGTCCTCAGAAACCAAGAGGAACAAATTTTCTCCTTCCTCCTTGTGACACCCTTTTAGATATTTGAAAACCGCTATCATGTCTCCCCTTAATCTTCTTTTTTCCAAACTAAACAAGCCCAGTTCATGAAGCCTGGCTTCATAGGTCATGTTCTCTAGACCTTTAAGCATTCTTGTCGCTCTTCTCTGTACCCTTTCCAATTTCTCCACATCTTTCTTGAAATGTGGTGCCCAGAACTGGACACAGTACTCCAACTGAGGCCTAACTAGTGCAGAGTAGAGCGGCAGAATGACTTCACGAGTTTTGCTTACAACACACCTGTTGATACAACCTAGAATCATATTTGCTTTTTTTGCAACAGCGTCACACTGTTGACTCATATTCAACTTGTGGTCCACTATGACCCCTAGATCCCTTTCCGCCATGCTCCTTCCTAGACAGTCATTTTGTCATTTGATGCTTCCTTCCATGCAGCCCATGACGATTACAGAGTTTATTGGTGTTTAGTTTCAGAGGGGTAGCCGTATTAGCCTGTACCTGCAAAAACAACAAGGAGCCCTATGGCCCCTTAAAGACTAACAGTTTTATTTGGGGATAAGCTTTCATGGATTAAAACCACTTGAATGTGAAAAAGTTGGTTTTGACCCACGAAAGCTGATGCCCAAATAAATCTGTTAGGGTATGTCTTCACGAGCTCGTTAGTTCAAGCTAGATAGGCAAATGAGGGCAACCGGAGCTTCATTTGCATGTTCCCGGCGCCGCCATTTTTAAATCCCCCTTAGTCCGAACTAACTGCCCGCGGCTAGACGCGGCAGTTAAACGTTAATTCGAACTAGCTCCTTAGTTCGAATTAACTGTTACTCCTCGTGGAATGCATTGCTCACACAGGAGTTAACGTCTGTTTCTCATGTAACATCAAATAATCAATGTATTTCTGTGGATAGTCTGTTCTTTATTTCTGTGACTCCCCCCCACTTGTGAACATTTGTGCTGTATTGTGCATGTGAAGAAGGAGGCAGATGACTTGCTCTCAATATGACGATTGTTTTGTGTTCAAACCAATGTGTGCTTTGTATGCTGTGGAGAAACAAAGAAGAATCAATTCGTTCATAAACCAGCAAAACTGCTGTAGTGACCAGGTCAATTAATTTATAAACCGTCTCTTTGGATCCCTGGCTAGATGTGCACATAATCCCTGCCTGCTTCATGCACCTCTTAGCTTCCTCGCTCCCCTCTCCCCCGAACATTAGCTCCTCATTCCTGAATGAAGGTTTAAAAAAAGGATTTCTCCTCAGTTTGCAGCTTGGGAACCATTGGGGCGCAGGGGGGGCATGTTGGTTGGTGCAGGAGACCATCTGGTTGGCAACAGAAGGCTGCTGGGTGGGGAGTGTGACAGCGAGCAAGGTGCAGGAGGAGGCTGGACAGAGCAGTATCTTGGGGGCAAGCGGAGGGGTGGCGCTGCAGTTGGAGGGTAAGGGGGGAAAAGGCAGTTCAGGTGTAGCTGGATCTTGGTGGCAAGTGGCAGAGGAGCAGCTGTGGAGCAGGGAGTAGCAGCTGTCTGTGCATGCAGGGGCACATGCATGTTTGAAGGTAAATTTTCAGAGCTGAGTTTTGCCCTCTTTTTCTGAAAATGTCCTTGACACTCTCCATACGCTCCCCGTGCCATGCTCTGCCCCCTCGGACTGGCTAGAGGGCCGCTGTCTGTGCAATTATAGATTTGTATTACAGTCAAGACACTGCAGAAAGACTTTTCAGTGATTTCTGATGTTGGGATTTAGACTCGCTCTTATCTCACCTAGCAGATCCCTCCAACGTAGCCTTGTGATTTGGCACTGAGAGCGTCTCATTATTACTCACATCACAGTTAAAGTGTCACTTTCTTTTCTATGCTGTCTCAGACTCTATAGGTGGACCCTTTCCGGCTTCCTCTCACCGATGCCACCACAAGCAGAAGCACTGTCTGCCCATCCCGCAGTGCGGCACTTTGTCTGTCAGTCCGCTGCTTTTTCACCCCCACACCAAGGGGTCCCAGATCATCATGGACACGGCCCAGAAGGCAGTGAAACGGCAGGCCAGCTTCTGCAATGCCATTACCTTCAGCAACCGGCCAATCATGGTCTATGAGCAAGTCAGGCTAAAGGTGAGTAAATGACTCTTGCCTCGTTGCCATTGTAACTGCCTTAAGTGCTGGCAGGGAGGGCAAGGGGTAAATGCTCTAGGTGTAAAATATGAGTGAGTTACTGCAGAACCTGTATAAACATTGTTCCCAGAGGAGCATAGGCAGGAGTCCAGGCTAAGGGAAGTATGGCTCATAGTAGTGTATGTGTGTCAACACAGAGATAGGTTGCTCATTAGGATGTCTTATGTCTAGTAACAGACATTTTCATGCAATTCAGTCAACCTGTGGAACTCCTTGCCAGAGGATATTGCGAAGGCCAAGACTATAACAGGGTTAAAAAATAGCTAGATACATTCATGGAGGATAGGTCTGCCTATGGCTTTTAGCCAGGATGGGCAAGGATGGAGTTCCTAGCCTCTGTTTGTCAGAAGCCAGATAAGGGTGATAAGAGAGGGATCGCTAGATGATTCCCTGTTCTGTTCATTCCCTCTGAGCCACCTGGGATTGGCCACTGTGTCGGCAGACAGGACACTGGGCTAGATGGACCTTTGGCCTGACCCAGTGTGGCTGTTCTTATGTTTGCCGTCCCTTTCCTGGGACCCAGGTTCTTTATCTCACAGTCTTTGTGCCTGTGCCATCCTAGTGCCTTAATATAATTAATTGTGTGTCTTATCTAGGAGCCCTAGTCACAGACTAGGACCAGGCACCGTGTAGATGCAGAACAAAAAGACAGTCCCTGTCCCAAAGAAGCGCACAGAATAAGACTGGAGAAAGGGCTAGGTAGATGGGGAGCACAAGGAAATGAGACCGCACCTGTCAGCCTGACAGACGACACTGTCCACACTCCAGCGGCCTGAGTGTCTTTCTTTGCAGGCATTGCAGAAGAGAGTTTGAGGAGGAATATGACAGAGGGTAATGAGGCTGCTTTTCAGGGAGCTCCTCCCAAGCATGCGGGAGGAGCACAAAGATGCTTGCTCAAAAACGTAACTAGCCAGCGATGAAGGCTGGCATCATGGGCTTACTCAGGCTGCATCGAGGGTGGACTTGTCGATGGTGCGTGAGAGAGAAGCTGCGTGTGGCGAGGTAACGAAGGGCCTTGAATGTGGAAACCTGGCAGCTTGTGTCTGATGGGCTCCGGAGAGGGGAGCCGGTGGAGGGGTGCCAAGAGAGGGGTCAGCCTGGTCAGAGCGGTGGGCTGGGAGAACAAGCTTTGCAGTAACAGAGTCTGAGACTCCCAGAATTGCCCCTGGCAAGGTCAGAGACGAGGCGGTTGCAGAATTCCCACTTGGTCACTGGCGCCAGGCTGGTTCCCCGCCATTGTGGGTCATGTACTTGCAGGGTGACACAGATTTGGGGTTCTCCTATAGGATTTGGGGTTCTCCTATAGGACAACACTTCCCCTGCCCAGATGTCCCTTTGCACCAAAGCCTTCAGCCACCACAAGCAGCCTGACATATAGATCATGCGCTCTTTCTTGTCCTGAGAACTGTTCCCAGCGGATGCGTTTAGCTAGGGCTCCTTAGGCTGCACCACCGTTAGAGCATAGCCAAAGGCTTGGAGGTTCTTCCATTCAATTCAGAGAAGACCCTTGGACGTCTCTGAAATATGCAAAGCTCTTGGGTGTGCAAATGTGGAACCTGAACTTGGAGCTGAGCGTTTCTTGGGAGGCACCAAGCCTCCTCATTCCCATTGAATTCAGTAGGAAATGAGAACCCGCAACAACAGTGTTCCTCTAAATGTTTCCATCCACATGCAGAATAAATTTTGTTATGTGCACTGAACATGTGCGGATGTGCACCACCAATAGAAATTGGTGGGAGCTCTGCTAATCAGCTGGGAGGCATTTGAATCTCTTCTGGGTGGCCATCCAAGTACTCAGTTAACAAGGAACACTTCAATGCCTCTCCAGCTCTGGCCCCTTACTTTGAAAACTCCCTCAAACAGGCTTCTATATATCTGATTCCTCCTGTTTCCATGCAGGCGGGAAGTGCAGCAGGCCTGACCTAGTTGCCTGGGATTGTTGGCTAATAGCTGAGAAAAGCAGAGACAAATGACCCTGACTACTAACGAGATGGTTGGGGTGGGAGACAGCTGTTAACTAATTACTTTGCATTTGAAACATCTCACCAAAGGTTTTCATTTTAGGCAAAGTTCATGGGCAAAACTAAGATTTTGTGTCAGATATTTTTAGTAAAAGTCACGGATGGGTCTTGGAGAAAAAAAGAAAAATTCGAGGAAGTCGTAACCTACCTGTGGCCTTTACCAAAAAATATCCTTGGCAAAATGGGGATCCACTGGGTCCACGTCGCCTGAAGTGTGGCAGCTGCACAGTAGCTAGAACCCATCTCCAGCAGCTGGGGACTGTGGAGTATCCCTGCAGCTCCGGGAGTTCTCACCCTGCCAGGGAGGGCAAGGAGCTGTGAGGTGCCCCTGCTTCCTGTAACTCCAGGGGCCTGCAGCCTCCAGCAGCAGCTGGTCCACCCATGGTGGGTGGGGGTTTGGCACTGAGAGCTGCAGGGCACCTCGCCACCGAAGTCTCAAAATCTGTGACTTCCGCAACCTCCGTGACAAAACTGTAGACTTTATTGTGGCTCATTTCTGAGTCCTGAACCAGTTCTCCTGTCCCTACTCAGGAAGCTGGGTGTTTATATTTGTCCATGGAGATGAGGATTTTAACTTCCAGAACACACATGAAGGCTTAGTGGGCAGGACTTTCATCTGTGCACAAGGAATTCCCAAGCAGAGCTCCCACGGAAACGAATGGCAATTCTGCACATGAAGAGTCAACAAGCATGAGCAGAAAAAGTACCCTGGGGATTGCCATAAATCTGAAGAACACTGTTGCCTTTCATTGTCTGTTTTCTGCTGATTCCCTTTCCATCTGTCTCTCTCCCACTTCCCTTCTCCCAAATGCCACCTCTAAGGCTAGGACTACACTATAGGTTTTGGAGGTTTTTTTTGAAAAAGCTACGCAAATTGTGCTCTGCAATTTGCATAATTTTTTCCGATTGCTTTTCCAGAAGAGGTTTTTCCACCATTTGGCCCTGTCTAGACTGGGCCAAATGGTGGAAAAGCCTCCCCTTTCGGAGAAGCCCTTATTCTTCGTAGAACGAGGTATACAGGGCTCCCCGAAAGAGTGCATTTGCTCTTCCACAAGAAAAAACGGAAGAGCAAACACGTTCCCTGGACGCGGCGGAGTTTTTCCGGGATACCTCTGGTGTCCCAGAAAAACCCACCAGTCTAGACGTCCCCTAAGTGTTTGAGTTTTCTAAGTCAGATTTTCACCAACTTCTCTCTATGCCTCCTGTTAGGTGCGACTCCCACTGCAGGCCTACGTGAGGGCCTGTGGGACTTGCCCCTGTTTGTGAGGTGTCATTTCAGAATTAACCCTGCGCCCTTCTCTGCTGCTCTAAGAAGTCCAATAGGCAGAAGTTGTCCAGAAGGCCAGAGTGCCAGCAAATGGAGATGGCCAATGTGTGGTGGATCTGGGTTCCGGTGAGCATCCCTCATGCTCTCCCGGAGGTGGGATTCCAGGCAGTGGGTGAGGATGTGGCCAGAGTTAGTGGATCTGTGGATATTAGCAGATGGATGTAGGACGCAGCAGTCATAGAACAACTTAGCCACTGCCTTGTAGTCCCAAGCCTGTCAAATGGGGGTGGTTTGCTGAGTAGGGGATTTGGTCCTTCATTAACCATTGCCTTTTTAGCCAAAAATAGGGTGGGGTTGGTTTGTTTGTCCAGCTAGGGTTTACACTGGATTTTAACCTTGATACTAGTTTGTCTATAATGAACCTGCATTGACAACTGTGTATTTGATGGGGCTGATTAGTATAAGGGGACATACTCCCTATATCACCATATGAATATTTGTTTGGGTTGCTTGTGATGAGTGTAAAACATTGGCAAGAGACTGTGGAGCAAGTTGTACAACAAGGCCATGTTTATCTAGGGTCCCAGGAGGGTGTTTGGATTTGCAGTGAAATTGCGGCAATAAATAATCCCCAGTTTTTCAGCAACAAATGGACTTCTGTCATTTCCATTTTATATGCTTAAAGCAGTGATTCCCAGCCTTTTTCCCCATGGAGGAACCCCTAAAATAATTTTTCATATCCCGAGGAACCCCTACCTATGAAAACGTTGGCTTGGCCAGAAAAAGTTGACAGCGGAGAGTGCAATTAAACTACTGCTAAATATTTCAAGAACATTTATTTGTAAAGAGCTGTTATATATATCTATCTGTCTATCAATATCTATATCTGTATATCTATATCTATATATAAATGTCAGCTTGTATATGTATATCTATATATAAATGTCAGCTTACATTATAAGAAAAAAATTGGAGCTTTTTTCCTGTATTTTTTTGTATTATCTAATCTTTTTTTCAGTATCAAATATCCTCCCCCTCCTGCCTCTCACTCTCTCTCTTCTCCTCCCCCTCCCGCCTCTCACTCTCTCTTTCTCTTCTCCTCCCCCTCCCGCCTCTCACTCTCTCTTTCTCTTCACCTCCCCCTCCCGCCTCTCACTCACGGAGCCCAAATGGCTGCTTGCTCCCGCACGGTGGCCCAGCTGAGCGGTGCAGAAGTCAGCTGAGCGCCAGGGCGGGAGGCGAAGGGCATGACAGACGCTCCAGGCCCTACCCAGCATTGTTTATTCCACAATTTCTTGTGGAACCCCTGATGATGGTCTGAAGAACCCCAGGGTTCCATGGAACCCCGGTTGGGAAACACTGGCTTAAAGTAATGAAATATGCTTTATTATTGCATTTTGTTGCTCCCAGCTCACCTACTGTAGGGCTGTGATGCCATCCCATTTGACAAGCTAAGCAGGTGCCAGATCGTTTATTAAGTGGCGGGGAGATCTTTTAGGAAATCTGCAGGAAGTAGGGAGGGTTTTTCAGTAGGCAGCACTCATCACGCTGAGCCAGGAAAGAACCAGGGCTCTGGTGCAGTGCTAAGGGCTGATAGAGGTACCAGAGCATCATAGGGTTGGAATCAGGAGGTCAAAAATTGAACCCCTTGCTTAGAAGCAGGACCAGTCGCAGCTCTCGTGCCACCCTTCATAGTAAGGAAGTTAAATGGAGATGATTTTAGTAGTCAATAGAATTTGTATCGATTACTCGATAGGGGAAGGCAGCCCTCCTCAGTTCTGGCTCGTGCTGGGACCAAGCCCCGCTGTGACTCTGCAATTTAAAATACAGTAGGAGCCGGGGCAGGGGGTGGGGGATTGCCTGGCTCCTGCTGCCTTTTAAATTGCAGAGCCACAGCGGGGTTTGGTCCCAGCACAAGCTGGGACTGAGCGGGGCTGCCTGCCCAGCTGATAGCGATCTCTGTCTGCTGGGGGTCCCAGCTCCTCTCTGGGTTCCCTGCAGACAGGGACGCTTTGTGGCAGCAGCCTCTGTCCACAGAGGATCCCAGCAGGAAGTTGGGACCCCTGCAGCCAGGGGCTGCTGCCAGAGCAGCCTCCCCTGCCCATTTGCTGCCTCTGATCAGAGGCAGCAATGGGGGAGAGGAGAAAATGATGGGCGGAACTGAACCAGCTTTTAAGCCGGCTCCCCCCAGCATCGGCTCCTGCTTTCCTCCATTGCTGCCTCTGATATAGAGGCAGTGGGAGGGGAATGTGAGTAGTCGACTCAACTACTCTCTTACATCACTACTTCACAGGAGAGGTAAAATCCTGTGAGGGGTAATGTTTTTTTGGTGCTTCTGCCCAGAGTAGGTTTGCTAGGCAGAATGCAGTTACCCCACACACTGAATTTAGTTTGTGCACCAGTGCTAATTCTAGTCCCCTAGGCTGTGTCTACACTGGCAAGTTTTTCCAGAAAATCATCTGATTTTCCGGAAAAACTTGCCAGCTGTCTACACTGGCCGCTTGAAT